TTCAGCAATTAACCTCGGCCCATTAAATGTTTATGCTAACGTTTCGGTATCGCAAGGATGCTTTCGGTGATTAGTTAGTCTGTCTAGATTAGTTTGTCGATATACACATCAATGTATACATAATTCATTTGCTTTTCTTTTGGAACACTTTTGTATCAAATTGATATTGTACATATCTGCTAAAACATAACCATGAACACATACATTATACATGTATAATAATTATATTATATATATGTTTGCCTACCACGATATTGTTCTGGAACAGATAAAGAAGTTGCCATTCTTTTTCTACCCGGATTTGTCGTCCGAGCATGAGGGGAGAAAGGTGGCTCTATTAAATGACCGGCTCCGGGGTACCTATACACTTCAACCAGGTGCTTAAACTCATTTGGACAAAGCTCATAGAAATATGTTTGTGTTTTAGGATCAATTTGTTTGTCGTCTTCACCGGCTATAACGAGAATCTTCGCTCCATGTCTCCAAGCCTTAAAACATTTGAAACATTTTTTAAAAATACGAAATATCAACGCCAAGTTATTAACTAATCTATTACCAAACTTTCATAAGAGACTTTGCAAACATACATACATAGCAACTCGTATAAGAATATAGTTAATATTATGGATGGACTTATATATCGTGAAGAATAATAAATAGATTTAAAGTGGATTGGTCTACAATGGACATATTTTTTATGATAATTTCTAATATTGATTAATAGCAATAGCATAGCATCATTTGAATATTCTTATAAAATATGTCTTGAATAAAAATATGTTGTTTAAGTTCTAAGTGATTTAATATCATGCACATTTACATGAATAATAATAATATTTTGTCCCAGAACATTTTAATATCTGATTGATTTAAATATATAAAATAGCCTATCATGTACCCCACACTTGCCAACAACATCCATATATAATTCTTTCGTCTGATACTTAATACATGTACTACCAACGTTATGTAATTATTTTTGTGTATTACAGTCCTTCCAATATAGACCATTTCACTTTAATTAAATTTTTATTTTCAAATTCTTCATTTACTTATATGTCTGTACATTCATTACGTTAGGACGTCATGCACAAAAGACTATAACATCTTGTAAAGTTTAAACCTATCATTTTCGCCAAAATAGAATAACGGAAAGGATTTCTAGAGCACTGGGAGCCAGGTTCACATACGTATATAGATGATAATATACAGTTATTTCATATGCAATTTGGGAACAGTCAAACTGTTGGCCCGAGGTGGAGGGGGTAGTGTTTTGAACTGTTGCCAAAGGCCGTAGGCCGAGGGCAACAGTTCAAAACACTATCCCCGACACCGAGGGCTGTTTGACTGTTCCCAAATCACATGTGAAATAACTGTTTTATTACCTAATCAATTACATGTATTTCATTTAAAATATCACCTGTTATTATCAATTGAAATAGCAATAATGTTATGTTTTAAAAACTTACTTCAATAGGAAACTTCTTCTCTTCTAAATGAAATACATCTTTTACAACTAACCCTTCATCTGTCAAATACGCCCTATTATTGTCAGGCCTAGTCCAGAAAAAAAGAATATATCAGTAATACAGTTCAATTTCGATCATACAATTTTTATTCATTTTTCATGAATGGAGTTCAGCACATTGTCTCTTTTTGGGTCACTTGAAAACATCCCAGCATTACTGATTAGAGGAGGCCATAAAGACCTCTCCAAGCAGACGAGATCTATTTAAGGACATATCCAAGTAGGCGTGCCCTATTCAATGACTCCTCTTAACAGGCGACACTATTTTAGGACCACTTCGAGTATGCCAGCACTATTTAAGGCATTTTTCGAGCAGTCGTGCAATTTTTAAGGACCTCTTCAAGACCTCGCCAAGCAGGCTTGCACTAATTAAGGACCTATCCTTGTAGGCAATCCCAATCTAAGGACTCTTCTTAGCAGGCGGACACTATTTTAGGATAACCCCGAAAAGATCAGCACTATATAAGGAGTTTTCCGAGAAGACGAATCCCATTTCGTTTACCTGCGCGTAACACCACCAATGTAACTGTTAGCTTATCTATCAAAGATCATCACTCAATCCGGAGAATCATCTTTTGTCAAGACAATGGTCAGATGCCATCGTAATGTGATTTGATTTGGTTATACCGGTTAATCGAAACCAAATAGTGGTCAACTCCAACTAAAGGAATATTTGTACGCAGTAACTTTCCATGTAAAGCATTGAAATTACTAAAACAAACTTTTAAAAAGTACTAGTACACTGTAGTTACATAATGAATGAATGATTAAACCTATCAAACAAAACTGTGAGACGTTTTTATGTTATTGCATTACAAACATTACAACTTTGCCATTCCATTCGCGCGGTGCATCATTTCTTGCAAAGTCGCTTACATTAGTACAATCTCTGTTCTTAGTAATCATGCACCTACGACATCATGTTACAAAATATATATCAGTTTGTCGTAGCACAATTGTTACATTGTTTACACTATGTAACGAAATGAAATACGCAAGCATTTTAGAAATGTTCAGTAAAGCAAAAGTAAGAAAATGACATTTTTCCAAATGACATAATCGTAATACTTAGCATAGACCTTTAAATATGCATTTTAACTAAAATAAATCTTATATATTTTTCATATTGATATATGTTATTTCTACATGTCTATATGAGAAAACGTACCATGAGGGATCGAGTTCGTTAAACCATACTTTTACAGGAGTCACAGACAGCCCATTTATATTGACAACAGCTTTGATCTACAACACATAACAAGCGGTAATTTGAGTTTCGTAACATGCAAAACATACTTTATGACATAAGAATGATTCATAATCCACATGAAAGAGTATGTATTTTGTACATGATTTAACATTTGTTCTTAATGAAGTACACAATACTCATTTGTTCAAAATGTTTTCACGATAAATTGTGAGCGTGAATATGTCACTATTTACATGAATGTGCGTGTAATTGTTTCTTCTATATGACACTATATGCATTTACATGAATGTGCATGTAATGGCTTTTTTCTATATGGCACTATTAACATGAATGTGCATGTAAATGTTTTTTCTATATGGCACTATTTACAAGAATGTGCGTGTAATTGATTTTTCTATATGACACTATTTACAGGAATGTACGTGCAATTGTTTTTTTTCTCTATATGACACTATATTCATGAATGTGCATGTAATTGTTTATTCAATATGTTACTATTTACATGAATGTACGTGCAATTGTTTCTTCCATATGACACTATTTACATGAAAGCGCGAGTACTTCTTTCTTCCATAGGTCACTTTTTACATGAATCTGCATGTAATTGTTTCTTCTATATGGCACTATTTACAAGAGTGTGCATGCAATTGTTTCTTCAGTATGACACTATTTACAAGAATGTACGTGCAATTGTTTTTTTTTTCTATATGACACTATATTCATGAATGTGCATGTAATTGTTTATTCAATATGTTACTATTTACATGAATGTACGTGCAATTGTTTCTTCCATATGACACTATTTACATGAAAGCGCGAGTACTTCTTTCTTCCATAGGTCACTTATTACATGAATCTGCATGTAATTGTTTCTTCTATATGGCACTATATTTATAAGAGTGTGCGTGCAATTGTTTCTTCAGTATGACACAATTTACATAATTGTTTCTGCATTATGTTACTATATTCATGAATGAGCAAGTATTTGTTTCTTCCATATGTCACTACATGTATTAACATGAATGTGCGTGTATTTGTTTCTGCATTATGTTACTATGTACATGAATGAGCAAGTATTTGTTTCCTACATATGTCACTACATGTATTTACATGAATGTACATGTAATTCTTCCTTCCATATACATTAAAGCCATTTTCATAATAACCTAATTAGCAACCTTATAATGACCTTACTAAATATTATAATATAAGCCTTAACATTAACGCACCTATGTCATTTATGACAATAGACTTACTTACTTCGGAATTAAACATATTTTGGGTTTTTTCCCCCAGCTAATCCGGCTGTACAAACAAACTTTTACAGTTAAAGCTTCGAAAATAAGCGCAACAGTTTGACTAATATTTTGTGACCGGTAGTGCACCGTGAAGCTATAACAGGAAAGTTTGTTTGTACGGTCCATGGATAAGCTTAGGGGGCAGGGGACCTAAAAATGAAAAAAAATTGTATTTCAGTGTGACCAGAAACACAATTCCAAATATTTCAAAATCTGTTTCACAGGCACAGCATTATTCAAATGAATATATGGACATACCATTGAAGGGAAAATAATATTTGGCATGCTTGCCCTTCAAAAAAAGCTGACAGCAATTTATAATTTTTTACCCCCACCCAGCCAAAATCACACCTAAAATTATACCCAATATGGGCAATCTTCATTGAAGGTTGCAGGCATACTCCAGAATCCGACCCGAATTCCTTTAAAACATATTCAGTAACCACGCAGTGCAAAGCTATGGCATTGGTCAGAAATGACCAAAAAGTGGTCCTGTCATACGTTTAGATTTTTCACAAAAATTTTTAATCTGAAATTTCTTACTTGTTTGGCGCCAACTGTCCCAAAGCTTTGATTTTTAAACATTTTTCACCTCCATTCGGAAGAGTCAGAAAAAATAACATTACAAAGCTAAAACCAAAATGCTTTGTTTCGGTAAAAAACCCAAAAAATACTTCTTCATTTCCTAACACAAACAAGAAAGAATTAAACAAGGACAGAGAAATATCAGAAGTTAGTCAGTACCTTCAAAACCATGTCTGATTTATTAAAAAGGTGTAAAAATTTGACCGGGGCCATCATTCGAATATGTCCCCTGGCCCCTTAGAAAAGCCCACATTTGCCGAGTTCCGGATTACAACTATTGCTTAGGAACACATTTACAATGAAAATTATTCAGCACATCAAAAATCATATACATGTATCTACATTTTAAAGAAGAAGATAAAGTAGGATGTTACCGTACTTGTGGTATAAGATAAGCTAGAGTTAACGCCAGCATCCCACCGTAACATAAACCGACAGCACCAAGTCTGTTTGTGTCAACATAATCTTGTTCCATCAACCACTCATATGCTTCCTGTAAAATTGAGGTATGTCTTATAAAACTATGAATTTATTTATAAATATAAATTTGTTACGAAAGGTTAAAACACTCTTTTATTTTTGTAAAAGCCAAACAAAACAAAGTTAAAGCAATGATACAAATTCGTACATTTAGAAGTATTGTCATATTTTATGAACGTGTTGATTAAATGTTAACTAGTTTTAAAATGAAAGAAAACAAAATTTTTACCTTCACGTAAACGAGGTCTACGTCAAGTTTGTCTTCAAAGCCAGGTTTGCTTCTCACGTGCATATAAGATAACGCCATAGTAACGTAACCATGTGACGCCAACAACGCCGCACGTGTCTCAATGATACTGACCAATCCACCGAACATGTCTACCAAACTAGGAAACGGACCTTTCCCTACATTTTTCATAATTAAAACATTTTTATAGTTTTCTTACCACGTGCATTACTCGTGCAACGGTTAGGAAATAAACACATTTTGTACATGCTGTGCTGGTAAAATTCTATAATAAAGGTCAATTAGTCCAGATAAAATTAAACATTAGTTCGGAAATAGTGCATTCAATAACTTATTTCTGTTGTATAGAACATATCATACTTTGTGATTAAAGATGAAATAAATTATTAACCTTCTGGTATAAAGACTGTTCCCTTAAATTTTCCTGTAAGTTGTATTCGTTTGACCCCTGGATTTTTGTATAACCTTTCAACTTTTGTCGCTGCTATGGGATTACCAGACAACATTGGTTCCTCGTGAGCGTCCGAATAAACTTTGATATCGAATTTCATTGGTGAGCTGACGTCTTTTTTGACAAGTCTAGCTGACTGATTTGGTGCGGATAAACATTTAAGACTCCAAAACAAACCCATTGGTTCGATTCCTGTAATAACAATGGTTTTGAATGTTGCTATATGTCACCGGCTACATTAAATTTATGCTTACAAGTGAATCTAAAACGGCTGATTCTTACGTCACATTGACACCATTGAGGTCAAAAGGCGACTTCCCAGGCTTGAACGTTTGTTTTAGACAGCGACAGAAAGCTGGGCAGATTTAAATGATGATAAATATCGCTCTTTTGAGATATTAAACAAACTTAAGCTTTAAAATATTTTATGGTACTGACCCATACATAAAGATTCAGAGAAACGAATAAACAATGAATCGCACGTTTATAACATTTCTTTCAACTTCACAACTCATTTCATTCGAGAAGTTGCGCTTGACCACCGGAGCGACAGATACAAATTTTGTTTTTGCTTAATTTTACGGCACACTAACACAGTAATTAAAGGCCATATGGCGCCGAAATAGGAAAAGCGATTTTCGCTAACCTCGGGTGTTACAAACGTCAAAGCAACATCGGGATCATAGCCAACTCACCTGCTGGTGCTAGAAGTAGGACTTTATTTGTTAAAACCCATTTTGTCTCCTCTTACGCAGGGATAAACGGAGGCTGCAATTCTATTGCCTCAAGCAACCCTTCAACCGCAATGAGCTCAAATGTATTGTGTATGAAATACATACGGCTAGAATAGATGTTCTTATCTAATTAAAATAAATTTTAAATTATTTATGATATCAGTAACAAAGTTACAACAAGTTTTACTTTTCTTGTCTTCTTACCTTTAAAATAACCGCCTATTGAATTTGTAGTAAAGTTATCTATTTCACCCTTGCTGTCAGCTTGATAAACACAGCGGGATTCGAACTTCATTCCATTTTCAACAACTTCTGCAACGACCGTGACCACCTGGCCAGCAGTCAGACCACGTATATGTATTGCGACTTTTTCATCGACCATACCGACAGGGGGCGCCACAGATATACACGGTTCATCGGCCCTGGTCGAGCCGGTCGAACATTCTCTAGTTGAAGCATTTATATGTTTCTGAAGTACTTCTAAACGTTTCAGGGACTTCATTACGGTGTAACTATTCTAGCTTGCTCTCCTACTACATTACCTGAAAGGTTTTACATTTTATTTACATGAAAGTTTTTAACATTACAGGAATATTTATACCTGGAACGATATATTGATATAAAATAACCATGTGTCTCAATTACTGTTACTGTTCAATACATTCATATCTATTTATAAAAAGCGTTTGTATTTCAGTTACAATAGTAAAATGGTTAAATATCGGTGTAGATCACATAGTTATATAAGGCACGTATTGAGATCGATTTTGAATAAACGTGAAATATGAAGTGTTAAGGAAATGCAGGTCTGGGCGTAGCACTTGGAGTAAAATCCTGAAATCCTGAATCCACGCCACAATGTAAATATTAAGTCATGTAGAAAGACGAAATAAAACTTATTGTTGTCGTGAATTGTGCGTGTATTTTGCTAACAAAACAAGGTAATTTGATAGGGGTTCTACATACCAGCCAAATCCCACGGGGTGCATGACCCCCCCTAACCCCCTTTGGATCGGCGCATTACATGGGGATGTGGATTCAACAGTTAAGTGAATTCTACATACGATGAACTATGACATTAACACATTTTGATCAGTCATTCAACCATGACTTTTATATTAGTAAGTCGATAACGCATCAAACGATTTTTTTTCAGTCGAACATTTTTCAGTTTTCTTTTTTTTAAACATTAAAGCTTTGAAAATATGGATAAAAACCGGTGTAAACCCGGAATAGTACGATATGAAATCGATACTAAGTAAAAAAAACCACAGCATATTTATCTCTGTAAAGATCTAGATCTATATTATAAATTGTGCACAGTCAAAATCCACATGTACATACATAACAATCATACTAGCTAAATTATATAACAACTTATCCAAAGTCAAATAATGATACAACAAAAAACTTAACACACACCTTGCATCCTAAGATATAATCCGTAAATAAAATACAGTGACCTACATTTTTACCTGATTTCTATTTACGACGCACACGTAAAATCATCAAAATAATTAAGGCCTACTTGCATTCTAAAATTTAACCCGTGTTAAGTTTCCTCTTTCTATAACGTGCCCTATATTTTTAAATAAGTCAATTCACGAGACACACATATAATCATGTAAACAAAGATATGAAAAAATCCAAACACCTTTAAACCCAGTACAATGTAAATTTATGTACTCACTGTTTATATATGTTTTGCATGTTTTGTATCTCACCAGCATAAAATCACTGAAGGGTAAAAACTAAAAAGTAAACGATACTTCACATAATGATGGTAACTGTTTCCGGTATGTTAAATTTAGATCATGTTAATGATATTGACCTCAGTTCATTTTATAACGCTAATACCATAGATGGCCAAAGTATGGTGGCTGATTTATGCCATTTCGCTTTCTTGCCCCGCGACCCCGCCAAGCGAAAAGTCGAGAATTAACAAGTTAAAATGGCGGGGACGTGGAGCTAAAACACGCTTATTAGCGGGGGCGCGTGGCGAAAAGTCGGATTTAATTGTAAAACCGCGGGACCACGAAGCGAAATATTTATTGTTATAGGCCGCTAATTAGCGTGCTGTTGTCCACACGCCCGCCAAATTATTCTTAAAAACCTCGACTTTTCGCTCCGCGACCCCGCTAATTAGCGTGTTGTCGCTCCGCGCCCCCGCCGTTTTTGTAGTTAAAATCTCGTGTTTTCGCCCCGCACCCCGCTAATTAGCGTGTTTCACTCCGCGCCCCCGCCGTTTTATACATTTATTAAACCTCGTTTGGCGCCCCCGATAATTAGCGTGTTTTCGCTCCGCGCCCCCGCCGTTTTATTTCTTAAATCTCGCCCCGCGCCCCCGCGCGGCGAAGTTTTATTTATTAAACTTCGCCCCGCGCCCTCGCTAATTAGCGTGTTTTCGCTGCGCGCCCCCGCCATTTTAACTTGTTAATTTTCGACTTTTCGCTTGGCGGGGTCGCGGGGCGAAAACACGAATGGCACAAATCAGCCACCATATAAAAGAGATATTCCTACAGATTAACAGAATATGCTTCTCGAATACGAAGAGCAATCTCAGTTTTGAATGTGACTGCGTTAAATTATCATATTGAGAACACCAATTTATATTTCATCTTTACATCGGAGGTGTTAATTGAAGAAAAGTTTTCTATCTATTACTTTTTGTAAACATCTGCGCGTGATGTAGCTTTTTTCTTCTTTTTCTTAAACTGTGACATTTATCGAAGAAAAAATGGATAAAATAATTTAAAGTACCTCTATTGAAATTGAAAAATTGGAAAAATTAACCGAAAAATCTTATGGAATGTAATGTGTTGTTGGTTTTTTTCGGTGGTGCATCAAGGTCAGATGTCTTGACTCCTAGTTTCCGCCGGGCATTGGTTCTTCTTAAGTCCGAGCTGTTCTGCAGGATATATAAATATAACGATATAGGGCACTATATTTATTTTTTACTTTACTGCACATTTTAACTCGAATGGTGCATTACTCCACAAGAACGAACTCAAGCACATACAAAATACGTGAGAAATTAAACAAAAAAGTTTGTTGAATGTGGACCATTCTATAATAACACCAGGCAAATGAGTATTCAATTGAAGGATAATTTAAACGGAACTCATACATCTATTTGTATATATAATTAACACGTTTTTTCTGTGGTAAAAGTAACAAAAAGGCTCTACTCGAGTGAAAAGTGCGTTACGTCATATGTCAAGTTAAACCCTTAAATTGAAATAATGGTATCGGGGCCCACCTAGCAGCGTTGCAATCGAATCCACTGCCGTCTGCGTTGTAATAGTTGTTTATCAATTCTTTTATAAACAGACAATGGCAATTTCAAAAAGTTCCAAAATATCGTTGTTTTGTGTAAGTATTATTTATACGATGTTATGTCGGTGTGTTTAGGGGTCGTTTTTCGCAAATTTTTACGTGTTTTAATAAAAATTAGGCAAAAGTGGCGCCCCTCGGCATACTCTACAGAAGTGTTAGTATAAATGGCAAATAGTCACATCGTTTACGTGTAGTGAGTTGTAAGAGTACATATGTGGGCTCGAGTCTCACTAGGTGTTTTTCGTGAAACATTATAGCACAAAACAAAATTTGTCATTAACTTACCGACAACAAAAAAAAAGGCCATTTTATATCTCCGCTGCTAAGGCCCACCGCTTCTGCGAAAGCTATGGCCAGTGGGCGAGAAAAACAAAAATAAATAGAATGAGTTAAAAATAAGCCAGGCTATTTTCAGTCCACACCTTTTTTTACTTTTATGATTAGGACTTATGCCAGTGGCAAGGTCAAGGTAACATAAAGGAATACTGCATGCTTTGAAACAACAACCATAGCTTCCTGCTACTCAAAACAATTTGAGATGTATTAATATACTACAGGTTTCCGATTAATGTGCCCTTTTAAATGACCAGGGTCTTTGACAGTAATATCAGTTCGTTAGTTCGTTATAATTGTTTTCATTATGCCAAACAGTTTTGCTGCTATTATCCCAATACGAATACTTCATGATTACAACATACGACGCCGTGTTTTCATGTTCAATCAACTGTACTCAATTAGTAAGCAATGGAAAACATGACCGAATTGAAAGGTTGTAATATCAAACCACTACAAAATGAATATTAGTCATCACATAAAAAGATGTATATTTGTGACAACAATTATAGTTTGTTTTTGTATTTAGTTAATGTTGTGCAGCACTAGGATATTCCCTGATTCAAAGTATTCCTGGTGGAAGAAAGTTAAAATCTCTATGGATACGCGTAACAGGCCCTAATGTACATTTATTGAAGTCAGTTTTCTTTCTTACTGGTTTTATTCTTTTCTAGTGAGTACATCTACAAAAGATTGCCTATTTACCTTTTCACAGTATTAAGAATGACACATCATTTCCAACAGGACGTGTATTTGGGGACAACATTATTTTAATTTAAAACAGTACAATGTATTTCAAAGATATATAAATAAATCTAGGTTGATACAACAGTTTACATTTTACAAATATCTTTGTACAAATTTTATTGTATTAACCCTTTACCTCATATATACGCGAAACAACGCATTTTCGACCCCCCCCCCTTTTTTTAGGCCTCAAATAGTGAAAAAATGTCCTATTTGGGCCCAAAACACATGTTTTCGTTTGAGAAATGTTGCTTAAAAAATGAGCACTTTTTCGGCGCCGCCCCCCATCCAGAAGATACATCAGGGGGTTGCCAGAAGGGGAATGTGCCCCCTCTTCTGTTAGGGGGGTTTGAAGGGGGGCGGAGTCCCCCTCATCGCCAAGAAAATTTTGGACTTGTGAGAGGCTAAAAATTACCCCAGGTCGATCATAATGAAACGTGTAACCAACGCTGAAAAGCCTTTGACTCTATCACTTTGAAATAAATTTTGATGGAAAAAATCGAGGCAAAATAGTGATTTTTGGCAATTTTGAGATGTCCCCTCGTTGCCATGGTAACAGGAAATTTAAGACTGAGCATGTCGTTACAAAGGCAATGGTCCAGTCAACATTTGTGCCAAGTTTGATTAGTATTGAAGCATTTTTATAGTTTCATAGCAGTTTGAACTTGTAACAGGAGGCTTTTCAGTGAAAACGGCCATTTTTCACAATATGCTCATGGGGGAAAGGGTTAAAACTGAGGCCCAATAGCCTTAAATCATAAAATTTGAATACCGTAACAGTATTCCTAGAAATTATTTCGCGCTTTTTAAATATATTAAAAAAATATTAGGGCAGTTTATTTTGTATTTTAGGCAGATTTATATTTTAGCCCAAACATTTTTTTCAATAACAATTGATTGTGAATCACCAATAAAGCAGCGCCCATCTGTTTTTTTAAAGGGAAATAACTAAAAGCTATTGTGGTTTAATTGTTATTCCTGAGTTTTCTCGCTTGCTATTTCTGAATTAATAAACTTTTAAGTTGACATTATTCTTTTCAAAATGATTTAAGATTCAAGTTAAATATAAACAATCGTTAACTTATAAACTGGTTGATCGAATGCCGCTAGTGATGCTGAATTGTTTTCATCATCTCTCTAGCCAGTGTGCGAAAAGTCCGTTGTTCTTTAAAGTGGTGTGTAAAATAATCCACGTTGTGGTTCCCGAGGTCTGTATATTAAAATACACTTTTTAAAAAAATCTCCGTACTTGTTTGGACATTTTGAATTTGAACATTGACTAATTTTGTAAGTCCTCCTCGGTCAAGTTTCGCGAAAACGATAAAAAAGTATCGGCACTAGATTTCTTTATAAAAGTTACAATAGCTTACTAAATTACAGTTATACAAAATACCATTAGGCACAATCAGACGAGAGGTTTTTAAAGCAGACTAGACTGAAATGACAATTTCTATGAGGACATTACTTCATGTCATTATCTCGCTTTTCCTGAATTATATCCCATTTATTTGATATTTTTCAACTTTTTCAACTGCATCACTAGCAGCATTCGATCAATCAGTTTATAAGTTAACGATTATTTATATTTAACTTGAATCTTAAATACTTTTGAAAAGGATAATGTCAACTTAAAAGATTTAAAGAAAGTCTTTAAGACTGTTTTACATGTTCTTGACCAAAACAAAACAAAACAAATGAAAATAAAGCTCCGAACGTTGTTTTGCGTTTCCGTAAAAGTAATTAAATTATTTGCAAAATCATTTTTTTGATAATTTAGAATGAATGGTATTTTATAAAAAAGCAACTTACATTACAAGCTATTGGAAAGTAATGTCAATATAGATCAGTGTTTGTTGTGTTCCTTATTTAATCTTTCATGCTGTAAAAATATTATAATAATTCAACATTTATACTGCGACTAATACAAATTCATAAAAATGATGATAAATACATTGCTCTTTCAACGCCTGGTGACTGTAACAGCATAGCATGTAACTCCGTGATATTTTAAACAACAAATCTTCTTCAGTAAATGCGTCTATGACGTCATATACTTTCTTTCAACCTGCTTAGAATTGTGAACTTTTGTAATGCACTTTATCAATGTCATTGTTATTGAGAAGTTTGTCCTCTATCTGGAGGGAGAAGTTCTTGTTCCTTTTTTCTATACAAGCTCTGCAATATCTTTCACCTAATACGTCACAATGCTGACGTTTCAGAACTGCGCGTCTTCCGGTGCTGCTCGTGGTATAACACGTGGGTGACGTGGCATTACGTGACAGCCATGTTTGTGAGTACACATCATTCGCATACTGTTTCCGACATTCCCTGCACGTGAAACATTGGTTATAGACGTTTGGAAAAAACAACTCGTCACGTGCAAATCGTTCTCGCGGACCTTCTCGTTTCTGTTGGTCTATTATGTATTTCTTTTCATTTAGATTTACAGAGTCTGGAATTTCATCCTTGACCCGTTCGGATGTCTCTATAGGGGGAAGAATCACGGTATTTTCGTGTACAAGCCGGCTGTACCATCTGTGAAATTTAGGTCGATAAAGTCCTACAACTTCTTCACTTGGCGAGTTGTTGCCCTTCTTTTTGAAGGGCAGGAAGTTATTTCCAAGACTTGGAATTTTCCATAAATTTCTCTGCAAATTAAACTTGTCGTTATGCTTTTTATTGTATTCGTACAAATTCTTAAATTTCCGGCATCTTACGTTTTGCATAGTGTCACTTCGCGGTGAACTATTTTTACTGTCTGGTATAACTTGAGTCCAAATTTCATTTTCATACGCGCGATTCACGGGAAGAGTGCTACCAAGTTGAACCACTGTTGGAAGTAGTTCTTTTTTATCCTCAGATTTTCTCACAACATCTGATCGTGAACGTACAGTCAAACCTAAAATTGAATAAGAGATTATGAGATGTATTTGATATAAAGATATATATAATGTCTGTCAGTTATTTTGTCGCGAAAACAACATAGAGAAAGAAACGTATGTACTGTAGTGTTGTAATTATGTAAATTTTCTGTGTCATGGAAGATAGTAGAAAATAGAAGAATTTAGAATTATTATGTATTGTTTTCTTTTTATTAATATTTGTAAATACACTGAAATTATCTAGTCTAATTGCTTTGTCTAGAGAAAAAGTGAAACTGCAGTTTTGCTCAATGATATAAATGTGACTTTATAGCATATAATAAAATGTTTTAAAACAAAATATTATTATTTATCATAAAGCTATTCGTACTAAAAGACGTCGTACTCCCCCGTCAACATTTTGTTTTAAAAATGTTTCATAAGAATATCCAAATGATACATTTCTATTGTTTATCAATATTTGAAATACTTTTGGAAACTGTACCGATTGTATACCAATCCACTTTAACCTTTACCATGCTGGTGGCGACTTATTCTACCTATGCGCCCAGAGCAGACCATGATCAGTCCGCACATTAGTGCAGTGTGAGCATGGTATGTTCGGTATTCAGTCAGAATATATTCTGAAAATTGCCCTTTAACTGAAATAATCTTTTGTTACAAATTGAATGATAAATATAAACGCCTACATTAAATGCTTTGCATTATTCAAACACACATTACTCTTTATCTTAAATAATTTTCTTTAATCTTATTATAAATGTAACAAGAGAAACCATACTCATTTTTCGTGACTTCTTTGTACAAGTTAGTGGCAACTATTGATCATAAAGTTGATTCTATCTCATGTTGATTTTACTCCCTGAAAGAAATACAAAAACAAAACACTTGACATATTAGCTGATAAAATGTCCCAGTCTAAACTATAAAATGGCCGGTGATATTTTAAATAGGTAAACACAATTCTTTCGTCTCCGTTTTTTCCCAAAAATGATCTTGACAAAATATTTTTGAAGTGATTGAAATCATTTAAAGAGTCGTTATATTAGTTAGATCAAACACTTCACATTATAGTAAAAGAGAAATGACCTCGGGTGTTGGTGCCAATGTGAAGACAAATGTTTAATTAAAATTTTGTAACAGATAGTCTATAGTTTTTTATTGACGAATTCCTCAACCTTGGACCGCTAATAATGTGTACTTAGATACATACACTCAAATCATAAAACCACATACCTGAGTAGAATTATTTTCATATAATTGAACATAAAAATGTGTTCACTACAAAGATATCATATCCTTAGTCAAATAAACAACGCCTTAAAACAAACGATAAACATAATTCTAAGTTGAATGAAATAAAGATAATTTTAATTTATACCTAATACTTATGAATCTGTCGTAACCCTGCCCCGACCCCTTATCAATAATAAGCACCCGTTATCAATACTATCTTACACAGAAAACGGGCTGACCAACTATAATAAAATATAATGTTTTAATAAACAGAAACGACTATCACAGATCATACAAGTTTACAAATTGTCTAATTTGTTCTTGTTTTTATAATCAAATTAGAAATAAAGCATGCATACATACATAAAACTAAATATAATCCTTCATATTTTAAACCGATACACTGACAGCTTTATAATAAAAGAAACTAAATTCAAAAAGTTAAAGACTTGATTAAAAGTAAACGTCGGTAAAGATAAAATATTTAAACTGGTAAATGGAACATTAAATACCAAAATGCATTGTACTGTTTTATAATAATATGACGTGCACGGTTCTGATCTATGACCTATGAAGTGAACCGCTTTCTCTAATCGAGATGATCTTTTTTTCATTCGTGACAATTGTTTGAGCGACTTTAAAAAGGATAACGTTAATCTAACAAAAAGGTTTAAACCATGTTACACAATTTACCTGTTTTCTTAATACATTAATCCGTTCATTTTAGTAATCATTAGCACAAAGACCGTTTCAAATATCGTCCATGTGTTTTGCAATCACGCCATTTCTAAAATGTTAAATCGAAGTAATATTTATTTATATAAAACGTTCATACACCCGGCATGAAACACTAAACTTGCACCCGTCTGATTTCTATGCTAATATTTACCGAACCTGTACACATTCCAAAATTGAATTTATTTAACATCTAGCAATGTGATTCAATTTCAATTTATACTGATCAAGGTATTTTAAGCCCTTTACATTTTATCTAGAGTCCCTGCTTATTTACGAATTAATTCCTATTTCAACGACCACAGCAAAGCCGTTACACGGTAATTTTAAATTATTTATAAATATTTCAAACTTAAGAGTATTTCAGTATCGATTCAGTTTTTTCCCTTCCAATCAAGGTAACATTTGAGTCCCTTTTAGCAGCTATTGTGGCACATTAAAAACATTTACTTCACGGAAGTCAGTATTGATTAAGTAATCTAACAAGTCAATAATAAGACCCTAAATTAAACAACCGATGTTTTTTGCTTTTGACGGAATAATTACCCTATCAATATTTGGTCATTAATTTGACAAATTCCTTTTCACGAGCGTCATATAAAAGCTTTAGTCAGATTACAATTGATAAACAGTTGTCGACTTTCCTCAATATTTACATTTTAATTCAAATATCGTAGGTCTTTTTAAATTGTTGCGTATTTACATTCGATACTCGGTAACCTTGAAACTGTTCGATATATTAAAAGGATTAAAGCTGTCATTTCAATAATACACTCATGCATTAAAGTAATGTTCTCTCGCCGATCTTTTATAAATTTAAATTTTGATAAATGGGAACGCTGACGTCTTTAAAAGAAATACAAAGAAAATAAATCACTTTTCATAATTATATCTTTTTATAAAGAGTTTTTTAAATTTATTTTTTTATTGCAACATACTTAAATGATATAGAATACATGCATGGCATACATAATTCTTTGTAGATATTCATAATTAATGCAATAAACTGGAGAACAATTCTATAAGATACTTGAAAAGTTAAATGACATTATATCACTGTAAGCCAATTTAACGCTATATTGAAAAGAAGTAAAGTGCCCGAGTAATCAGAAGTAAAGTGCCCGAGTAATCAGAAGTAAAGTGCCCGAGTAATCAGAAGTAAAGTGCCCGAGTAAACAGAAGGAAAGTGCCCGAGTAAACAGTAACTATCAGTTTGTAGATTATAGATGATCAAAAGTTGCTGTCATTTATGATACATAAGATTGTACGAAATGAAACTATAAAACTTTAGAGTTGGGTCGAAATTATAGTGTACTGGCAACAAATGACTCATCTTATTAAACAAATTACCACGGTAAATTTTTTCTGTGCCAAAATTTCGGAAAACTATCAGTATCAAAGCTCCTTTCAGTATGTTTGTAAAGCAAAATGATAAGTTTTCAATCTCACGTGGTGTAAAACAATTTATCTTTAATGAAAAAGAGCAAATTCTATGACCTATGCTTAAGATTTGTTCAAACATTTCAATGATAACGAATAATTAGTTAAATTAAACAAACGTCCAGAATATTTATACAAGTATTCAAATTAAATTTGAAAATATAGTTCTAGATCTTCATGATCAATAAACATTGGAAACGTGGCTGGAGAAATTATCTCTCCTTGATATAATCCAAATCGACGATAATAACTACCTGATTAACAGAGTTGTACATGCTTCGTTTTATTCTTAGTGATTTACCATTCTATCTAAGTTTTGACTTTGTTAGTTTTGACTTTGTTAATTGCAGATTGAAATGATTCACTGAAGAAATAAATTATGTTTAATGATAATTTTTCATAAAATAAATTGTATATATATGAATGTTCAGAATATATGTGAAGATATACGTGTATGTTGAAATTGTGATTACCATTTCTTTTAAATGTTATATTTTCCCTTTCTATGTAATGGTTTTATACAACAGGTTGTCCGGATTTGGCAATAATTTAAGTCATGAATATGGAATATTTAAGTTCAATGTGTCAAAAAGAACATCACTCGCTTCTGTAAAATATTTGTAACAAAGATCATCTATTTCTTTTTTAAGCATAGAAATTGCCTATCTTACTTCCTTTCAGTAATCAATCCATAAAATTCAGTAAGAACAGGGTTAAAAGCATCTGCTAAAATCTGCTATTTCATTAAAATAAATATTTATCTCAGAAAACATATTTACCTTGCCTCAAGTTGCGCTAAATCTTATCGATCAGACGCGATGTGTGACATCACATTTCATTAATATATCAGACAGTCTTGTGCTGTCAACACAGAACGATATAATTTCAATTTATATACTGTATAATTAAATGATTTATATAAGTTACACAAAATATCAAAATTTAAAGCTACATGTTTGCTGAATTCAGTAACATTACAAATGTTGAAATTGTTAAATATCTCTCCCAGGTTGCTTTTTCAAGGGAGGTAAGTTTGCACATATCTTTTATTTATTTTGAATAAGAGTTTTTTCCCTTGCCGATAGAGGCGTATCATTCCAATTACATCGGACACACATAAAATTCACATAGTATAAAACCATGTTTTTAGGTCAGACACGCACATTGATATTTCCATAGACTTACATTATAAGAAATGGTCCCTAATCCTACCTTAAAATTGAGTTTTCATGCTAAAGAGGTGATTTTTCTAGCAGAATGAAATGCCTGACACATAAAAATGGTCCTGTTATATAGTGGTAGCCAACCAAATCTTTTGCAAAATGACTTCAAAGAGGATTACTCCCCATTTCATTGAAATTTTCTGCTGATCACAGGACTGACATACACTTTTAATAAATGCAAATATCCAAGTCAAAATTATCACAGAGACTCATGAAATATTTCGTTTTCTTCAGAAAACAGTATAGTGTTACTTTTTAATTTAGTTTTTACACTTAATAAATGTTCAAGCAGTTCAATAAATGTCAGAGATAGTAAAACATTTATCGAACTTCAAGCAAATAAATGTGTCATGTATATTTTTCACAACTGAAATACTCTCTTTTTAATAGTGTCATTTCTAACGTATACAACAATACTACCGCTGGTATCCTTAGCATTCAACTGGGAAAAAATCACCTTTTATGAGCCTGTATTGATGCTATGGTGACATCTCGATCTTTTGCAAGTTGTAAATCCTCCACCCTTTGCTAGTTATGCTGACACTTAAAACTACTTTCTTAATTTCAGGAGTGGGGCTAGTTAGACTACCGACATAGCGTTTAAATCTAAACTTGATTTATTTAACCCTAAATGCAGTGGTGACATGACCAGTCAAAATACTGCAAAAGTCAGTGTAAGTGGACCAGACAGAACTGCACTTTCCATTGAATCATGCACACGGTGGTGGGGTTGGTAGTTTTTCACTCCGGATCACGGCAGTAAGCCAAAATGAAATTAGCAGAGCACAGTTCGGCCACCACTTCGTTGGTGGGCAGTATGTCAAGCAGTTTATCAGTACCAGTTACCTCCAATTTCGCAAGGAACTGATAACTTCTGTACATGCCAGAGCAGAGGTACTGTTTGAATGACTTCATGATCAATTACAACGAATCATACAAACATTTCAGTTACATATTTTTTTTTGTCGTATTCTCGAGGATCTCCTTTTTTGCCGTATAATTTTGTTATTTTCAGGACTTCAGAATACCCAACGTGGGTGATCACGTGCCATTTTATCATGTTATCATTGGGTTACCGCTGATGGTGTTTGGTAATTTTCCGTTATATCTTTCAATATTAGATAAAAACATATACCTGCAAATAGCATGTTCCAGATACATATTTGGCGATTTCAATGATATGTAACTTTCTTGTGTTGCTCTTTTACCTTTTTACACTTATACTTGTAGAAAATTATTCCTTGCGGTAATACTTCGATGAAAATACGTGTCACATTTTTGCAAGTATATCGTACATATTCCATATTCAGAGAGCTGAAGTGGATACATAAATGTGTAGATATCTTTGTATGGATCACCTTAAACTTTTAAATTTTTAAAGTTTTCCTTGAGGGCTTATTGTTACGTGTTGAACAGTTACAGCAACCTAACATAACCTCGTAACGTGTCATTAATAATGGTTTTGATAAACTGTCCAGTTATATTTCAATGCACGTGATTTTATAGCTTAAGTACAGCTATGAAGATGATCAAAAATGAAATAAATGAAAGGCAGTTGTAAAATACAGTATTATCTACGCTCTTGCGCATTGCTTTGTTTTTTCACTACCGTCCTGCAGCAACGGAAGTGTTTCAATTAGATACTTAGGGAGCGTATGTATTCCCTTCATCAAATTACATTTAAACAAGTTATAAACAAAAAAATTAGATTAAATCAAGTTTAAATGGATCTTATCCAAAGGCTTTTTGTAAAAAATATACCAGGAAGGTGATTTTATTTCGTCTTGATGTAAAAATTTATTCATTTATGACACACGAGCTAACAGAGTAGTGGTTTTTAGAGTTGTTTTTTTGTTTGTTACTGTTATTTTTTTAGATAGAAAATGCACTGGAAAACTAACTATTGGCATCACGTTTTTATTTGCTTGGCAAAGATTACACGTAAGTAATCTTTTTTATTGCTCCTTATATAAAAAAAATTATATTTCTTTTTCAGGCAAACTCATAAATTAAGAATAGTAACCGTTCAATAATTTAAACTAATTTTGATGTCTACTTTCGATTTTGAAAAATTAATTTCCGACTTTGCTTCTATCCTATGTTTGTTATATGTTTTGTTATTCTATATATCTTAATGAAAATAAAACTAATTATTTTTATCTGGAAAAGAAAATGAACAAATCAATTGTGCAATATGGAATAAAAGGTTAAACTCCATCTGATGTAAAACATGAAGAATTCGGTCAAATAATTCAACAAGCAAACCAATTTGCATTATAAAAATTTTGATATGCCTCAAGTCCTCAGGCGCAAATTAAACATTTAGCCCAAAATTCAAAATACCTGAGCAACCCCCTGATTTCATCGACTCTCAGTCTTATCCGACCTTGTTTCAGTCCATCCAACATTTTTGTTATGATAATGTAATGGTAATGATTAAATTTCCGTTTTCCGTGACTACAAAACACCATATTCATGACTACGTCGATCATGTTTCATAATATCTTTATGAGTACAGTTACGAGAAATAACGCCCTCAAAAAGGAGCGAAAGGACTACATATAAGATACAAGTATCTTATTAAATCAGTATCACCGGCTAAGATACGAACAGGCACCGGCTTCTAAATTTATGTTTCTCGTCCATCATAGATTGAAAAGGAAATAGAGACCATCAAAATTATAGTTACGTATGCCTAAGACATAATGTTAAATTTTAATGAGTATTTTTTGTAAGAAGAAAAGAAAAGTCGACCAGCCGTCGACTTCTTTCACGCTAGTGAATGTGTGACGACTGAAAACCCACACCTGTATAGTGCTAAAGACAGCTCAGTGTTACCATTGGTATTATGTTACATATTGAAATCATAAAATGAAAATTGAAACAGTTTGTCACGACTTTTTCAATGCGTATGTAAGAAAAATCCTTTTTCCTTCTTACATACTAGAATGTCGGTTTAAGGCTTGAGTACATTTTATAAATGTTTTATTTCAAGTTGGATCATAATCTCTTACGAGCTTTTACAAAAAAACGACTGCATACAATATAATCTATATAAATCATCTATCGTAAAACAGCTTCAAAAAGATAATAGCACAATATATCTGTAATCAAAGTAAACTTATCACACATTGAAAATATTTAAAACGTCCAATATTTTCTTTATTTCTTCACAAATGTTCGTGTCTGAAATTAACATAAAGTGAAAACAGGCCATTCATTTTTTTACATATCATTTAAATGACAACAAAAACATTTCAGCATTCAATCCTTTATGCAAAATGGCTGAAAAGATAATATACATACAAGAAATAAAAAATAACAAATCTTTAATGAAAATCATGAAAATATTATTTCGTCTTGTTGTAAAAATTTATTCATTTATGACACACGAGCTAACAGAGTAGTGGTTTTTAGAGTTGTTTTTTTGTTTGTTACTGTTATTTTTTTTAGATAGAAAATGCACTGGAAAACTAACTATTGGCATCACGTTTTTATTTGCTTGGCAAAGATTTCACGTAAGTTATCTTTTTTATTGCTCCTTATATATATTTCTTTTTCAGGCAAACTCGTAAATTAAGAATAGTAACCGTTCAATAATTTAAACTAATTTTGATGTCTACTTTCGATTTTGAAAAATTAATTTCCGACTTTGCTTCTATCCTATGTTTGTTATATGTTTTGTTATTCTATATATCTTAATGAAAATAAAACTTATTATTTTTATCTGGAAAAGAAAATGAACAAATGAAATGTGCAATATGGAATAAAAGGTTAAACTCCATCTGATGTAAAATATGAAGAATTCGTTCAAATAATTCAACAAGCAAACCAATTTGCATTATAAAAATTTTGATATGCATCAAGTCCTCGGGCGCAAAATTAAACATTGAGCCCAAAATTAAAAATACCTGAGCAACCCCCTGATTTCATCGACTCTCAGTCTTATCCGACCTTGTTTCAGTCCATACAAAATTTTTGTTATGATAATGTAATGGTAATGATTAAATTTCCGTTTTCCGTGACTACAAAACACCATATTCATGACTACGTCGATAATATTTCATAATATCTTTAAGAGTACAGTTACGAGAAATAACGCCCTCAAAAAGGAGCGAAAGGACTACGTATAATATACAAGTATCTGAATCAATATCACCGGCTTCTAAAAGAGCGCTTCAAATGTATGTTTCTCGTCTATCATAGATTGAAAAGGAAATAAGGACCACCAAAACTATGGTTAAGTATGCCTTAGACATAATGTTAAATTTTTAATGGGTATTTTTTTGAAAGAAGAAAAGAAAAGTTGACCAGCCGTCGACTTCTTTCACGCTACGACTGAAAACCCACACCTGTCCAGTGCTAAAGACAGCTCAGTGTTACCATTGATATTATGTTACATATTGAAATCATAAAATAAAAAGTGAAAATATTTGTCACAATTTTTTTTTCAATGCGTTTGTAGCGAAAATCACTTTTCCTTATTACATTCTAGTATATCGGATTAAGTGTTGAGTTCATTTCATAAATGTTTTATTTCAAGTTGGCAAGATTAAGAACAAATATAATAAAAGCTTTAACGAGCTTTTAAAAACGACTGCACATAACTTAATCTATATAAATCATCAATCGTAAAACAGCTTCAAAAGATAAGAGCACAATATAACTGTAAATCATTGTAAACATATCACACATTGGAAATATTTAAAACATGCAATATTTTCGTTTTTTCTTCACAAATGGTGTCTTAAATAAACATAAAGTGAAAACACGCTATTCAATTTTTAAAATATTATTTAAATGACAACAACAAATTTCAACATTCAATCGTTTATGCAAAGTGACTGAAAAGATAATATACATACAAGAAATAATAAATAACAAATCTTTACTGAAAATTATGAAAACATTAAAACAATAAATGAAAAAAAAACATATTAACTTAAGAATATTTTTTTTAAAAATCATGACAAGCTCTCGTGAAAGTATTGTATGAACAGAGAAAATAACCACATTACATTGACGGGTCGTGAAATGAATTGTCTCAATGTAACATAAGACACTTGATTACATTTTTACATACATAAACGTATGACTTGATGACTTATGTTTAAAACACGATCATAGTAAAACTAAGCGTCAAGCATCTGACAGTGCTTCTAGAGAAATACCTAAAAAGTACCACATTCAAGACAGACACAATTATTGATTTGTATTTGTTTAGAAACGTTCACAAAGAAAAGAAAAACACATAAAATTTACGCTCTTTAAGTACATTGCAGTACATCAATTTCAATGTTTTAATTCATAAGTTTTAAATGAAAGATCACTGCGTGAAGATTGTAACATTAGTACAAAACCAGCCAATTAATTGACTCAATGTCATTGCAGCTGAGCATTCTTAATAGTTATTAGCTAAGCAAAAACAGTGAGCAAGGCTAAATCAATTTGATGATATGTTTATTGTCATGTTCGGAGGCTTACATTTGGAACTAGTTGCATTTAACACTACCGGAGAGCGGTTTTAAGATATTGGTTTTGCGTTTTGCAATCGCACAGGAAAATAATGCTTCCCTGGGTAGCGCAAAATTATTTGTGAATGCAGCAAGTCTCGCACAAAATAGGCATGCACATCAGTTTATAGCAGCTGAACTTAAATAAGCAATTAAGAGAGAATCTTGAATTAATCAGAGAACATGTTGGTTCTGAAATGAGTCTTGAAATTAAAAGTAAAAGTAAGAAAGCGGAAACACCTAGTTCTTATTTTGAATTTGGAGCTATCATTTTCACTGTCATTCTGCACATCACTTTTGTATTTCAAGTTCTGTACTTAATATATATAAGAATATAATCAAAATTATAAATTGTAAATGACCATTGACTTCGAACATCGAGTCTAATAGTTATCTGTCTACAACCGCTGATTAAGAAATCATGTGAGATAAGTAGTCAGTCACTTGCGAAGAGATTGGGTATTATCTATTATCGGTAAGTTATCCAGGAAAGACTGTTATATAGAACGACCACAGAGATAGGTCATTGGTCAAAATGTGTAAAAATCATACATACTTAAAAATCAATACATACATAAAATCAAGCATACAAAAAGTACATTTAAGGAAAAAGTAATTTTCTTTTTTATGTATTACAGCATACATTGTGCGAAGGACAATGAGATTTTTACGGTATTTTTGACATCATCAAGCAATACGAAATGAGCAATAAAAATGGACATCGATGACGATGATTTTTTGACACTTTTGGAAACCAATTTTATTGGAAGAGAATCCGACTTGCAAGCAATTTCTAAAGCATGGAATTATCAAAGAATATTCGGGATATTTGGGATAAGGTCAGTCGGAAAGTCGAGACTAGTGCAGGAATTTTTGTCTCGTTACATAACAGATGTCATCATTCTGCAAGTAGACTTAAAACAATTCGCAAATATTAGTGCATTGTATTCCTACTTGTGCATTCAATTAGGTATTAGAACAGAGTACAATGCCCACGAATCTGACCGATGGGTTCAGCATATTGTTAAAGAGCTGATGCATAGAAATGGCGAAAACTTTGTAATTGTTTTTGATAACACTGAAGATTTCCAAGAGGTAACCAGTACAGCGGCACGAGATATGTTTCTGTCTTTAAGTTGGAATATAATCAAAAGATGCATCAATGTTAAGGTTATTATCACATCAACAACAAATGTGAAGTTTACAGAGAAGACATTCTTCAGTTATACATTGGAACCTTTAAGCCTTATTGATTCGAGTACCTTGCTACGGTAAACTGGTTTCCTCTGTAAAAGACTTATGCTTATATTCTATAAATCTTATAAGTCTCCAGGTATATCATTATGTATCTTTTGTTGGACTTACCTTAATAATTCAAAAACAATATGAATGATAGCAAACTTTTAGGTGTTTACCTTTTGTCACAACTTAATTTTAGTTTACAGTTTTGAACCGGTAATTTACTTACAAGTTCAGCGATGTTTCATTGAAAATACACATATAAGTAATTGTATCTTTATTTTACAATTTACTTAGTATTTTCAAAACAGCTTTCGATGGCTATTGATTTCAATCGAGATTAACTTTAATAAGGGCATCAAAGTGATTATGGATATCTATGATTGTCTTACCAAAGGTTGCCTTTGGCTTAGTGTTTTGATAAGATATAACAATATAAATATATTTAAAAGTCAAATAAAATTGATTCGTGTTGTTGTTGAATGAATTGCAGGTCTGTAGCTCCGGGAATAAATTTTGGCGAGTACGAAGACGCTATTGTAACTCTAAGTGATGGATTGCCACTACTCATCTTGATGATAGGCTCAGAACTTAAGAACAACGACGAAATGACGCCTTGTCACATGGTGCAGTGTCTACAAACAAGCCGTCTAAAAACATTAAGTGACACATTATATCCAAAAGAAGACCGTATTGGTAAGAAACAAAGAAAAAAAAACTTTATATTTTTATCAAACGTTACAAACAAAAATGTCATGATTAGTATCTTGATTCAGAGATCGACATCCGACCTTTAATGTTTCTATTACATGCTTGAACTTTAAACGAAATGTGTTGTTGAATATTCATTAACCTTTGAAATCATTGGTTCCACGTTTGGCCATAAACACATTTGCGAATGTTTCAGAATATTTAGGATTTCACATTTTTCATTTGCATGTAACATCAATGAACAATGTCAATCAAACTGATTTGGCCTTTTGGGCCTTCTTTAGGGGCTCTTTTTTCTCTACTTTTTTTTGCAAAAAAAATATATATATAAAATACTGCTTAAATCGTTTAGGGATGGAAAAACTCGTGAGATCCGTGACATTTTGTATTTCTATACCGGAATGTTATGTACAGAGAGAATTAAATCAAGCTACTTTTAGCTTCTTCCAAAAGATATTGCAATTCAGATTGTTTTTTTTTTAATAGGAAAAGTGTTCAAGTGCTGTGAAGCAGAAGTAATAATTTTCCAGTTTTTTTATCTCTTTTTTGTATTGTTGTTGAGATTATTTTTGTCTTTCGAAATTGTTGTTTAAAGTACATTAAGAGTAAAGGAGCCGGTTATATAGTGCATGGCAAATGTAACGTTTTTTTTTTTTTTTTTTAAAGATTTTACCCAATCAATATGAGATTGCAATTTATTTTACAAAACGTTTTCAACATTTATCTCCAAACTCTGAATTATATAATTGTAGTTTGAACAAAAAGACTTGAGTAGATATATAATAATTGAATAAATGACACATTGAATATTTCATTTTAACATATAGATTTTTTGTGTGTTTTGCAGCTGATGTATACAAGGATTTCATAGATCGATTGTCTTTGAAGTACAGAGAATGTCTCATCGTTTTAGATTATATTCCAGGATCATTTAATGCCGATCAGTGCAAACAGATAATTGGTAAAACTTTCTTAATTAAACATATATAATTGATTACTCCCATTGAGTTGAAGCAAAATATACATTTCTTTATCAAATAGCACTATACTGGCATATTCATACAGTGCTATTTCTATATTTGGTGTTTTTGTACACTTGAACACTGTTTCTTCATATAAATCGTTGCCCTCCAGAATACCGTTTTGTAAAGACTATATTAGATCTGCATTTAATTGAATACAAAAAGCTTTTATCCGATTGTTTACTGAACGACTTATTAAATAATTTTCCATCGATTTTTTCCACATCTAAATATATTTAATTTTCTTTTGAATTCAAAATATAATTTTCGATGCAAAAATTGGTTTACAACAATGGTTTAATTGTTGAATTCTGCTTAAGTCTGTGCTAGGGGGCGTGGACGGTAGTTTGCACGTTCAAATACCGTCCATGAACAGGCTCAATCAAACCGAGCCTGCAACATTTTCAATTTTGCCGTGTTGGGCTTTCTTTAGGGATTCTGTATTTCTCTATTTATCTCTGATTACAGATGTTGATACAGAGGCAATGGTTAAATTCAAGACAATAAAACCATTACTAGATCGTCATGTTCTAGACCGTGATTCTGCAACCCGACGATTTAACATACAAGGAATTTTGAGAGAATGTCTGAAGTCATATTATACGGTCAAAGATCTTCCAGGTTATTTAACTGGACTAGATTTTACAATTACAGTATAATTATGAATCATTTTTACTACTAGTTAAACAATGCTGGCTAGCATCGGTTTCGTTAAAATTCATTTTTCTAAATTGAAGATATTGGAGTCAGTGATGTTCAAAAATTCTTGCTGGTTTTAGTTAAGACAATCAACTTGTACTCACGTGTGTTTAGACGATAGCTTTCTTACCAAATCTGTTATCAACATTTCATAGCTTGCAATATTTGAGGGTAGATGGAGGTACTCTTTGTTTGAGTGTTTTTCTTCAACATGTTCCAAACTTTTTAAGATAGTAATGCATTCCTTCCTCAATTCATGTCGTTACAATGTGTTTTCCCCATCCTTTTGTGTTTTTAGAAGTCAGGGCTAGATACAGTAAAATATTTACAGCTGTAATGGTAAACATATCAAGTCGACTCGGTACGTCTGAATATACCGAAGCAGTAGCAGAGTTTACAATAGAATATCCGAACTTACAGAAACTTCTGACAGATGTTAAGTACACTACGCAAGACACATATCACTTCTTTATAAAGGTCGCCACTGACTGTACAGCACTTGTGAATAACTTTATGGCAGGTAATATAGCGAATTTGTGTAGCTCAAAACATTCTATTTATTTTCCTTTTTGTGGAACTTTAGAAATTTAAGTAATACCAATCATTGGGTGGTATTGATTGTATTTTATTTACAAGTTCACTTCAACATTTATTGAAATAAATTAACCCATTATGTTTTTGTTTTGTTCTTGCTAATGTATACATTTTTAATGTTTGCGCATTTTTCGTAGCAGCTTCATTACCCTGACCTACATATGTATGTTTTTTTGCAATTTCTTAGTCATTTTGTTGCTGTTGAATAGACATGTTTGCATCACAGCGACCAATTAGAAGACACATATTTGGTAAAATCATTCAGCAAAAATTTACTTGAACGCAAAGGTTCGATATTCATAAAATCGTCTCTCGTTGAAGGTGATGGGGAAGTATTTTATCAAGGGTGTATGGAGATTGCAGATATGTACGGTAAAGATAAAGACAGGGCCAACATTCATATTGCCGTTGGAAGTTTTTATACAAACATCAAGGTAAATTACATCTCTCAATTTACTTTTGGTGTTAAGTCTGTATTACCATATAAAGGTTTATAATATATAATATATCTATAAATGTCTTGAAATGACTTTCTCCAACGTGATAAGACGTAACTATTTCTTAAAAAGTATCAAGTCAATATAAAAGTCTATTCATCGTATTTTTTCCTCAAAAAAGATGTTCAAATTAAATTCACCGGTTTGGTTTTTCATATAAAAAAAATTCTGGAAATCGGTCAAAGGACGCGATGGTCTGGCTTTCTGGAGAGCAGCATGAATATAAATGAAAGTCAATGTAGTGTATTTTCTTTTACGTTTTTAAATGTATTTATAATTAGATTGTTTGTCTGTACTAAATAGTACAATATTTATATATTTATTTGCAACAGATATATGAGGAAATCATATAAAACTTCTGTATCCACTTTATATTGATTTGAAAAACTTTGAATAGATTTAATATTCAAGACATTGACATTATTCGATATGTTATCTAATAAACATTTACGATAGCTCTTCAAGTCATTAAATACAAAATACATCATATTTATATGTTTAATTTTGTTTTCATAAAATTGTAATGTTGTTATAGGGATCAGGAACCGAGAAAGAAGTAAACACTTATAAAAATTCCCTTTATTGTCTAGTTTTCCTTTCTTTCTGGTTTTGTTAAACTCGTTTGTTTTATGTTGCTAGCCAATATATCAGTCTTGTCAAGCATTTAAAGCAGCTATTTTATATCACAATTAAATTATGAAAAGAAAGGGTCTTATGATTACATAAAGTAATATTTCATAAAACAACTCTCTTCACTTTGCTTATAAATAAAGAGTTATTATTTTATCACGATTCGTTTCCAAAATTATTTGAATATTTCTTTAGCTTTTCGCCAATTATCTTGCTTTCAATTATAATTGATTCTATAAACTCATTTGTTGACACAGGGCTCAGAGATAATTGCAATAATCTATGAAATACTTATTCACGAGAAATTTTATTTGTTGATAAATTCATTTTCCTATAAATTTGTTTACAGCCCATGTCAAACGAATATATTTAAACGAGTTGAGTTTATAGTATCAATTAAACCGTGGTTTTCAATACCGAGATCCTATATTTTTAATGTTGAACATTCTGTATCAGTCAATATATGACTTTGATTGTAACAGATATTGGGAATGACATACCCCATGTATACCCATAACATTTTAGGTTAAACAGATGGAGGTTGAGGATGCATTACTTTTAGAACTAAATAGCTGAATTACTCACGTTTTTCGTATTAAGTTTTTTTCCCACTATAGATTAAAACGTTAGGTTATAGCTTGCATAGGAAAACGTGAAATTTAATTGCATCACTTCATAAAAGGAATCTTTTTAACCTTAGGAAAGGAAGTGTTTAAGCTTATCGGTTATAATCTCCTGAACTGCTTTTCCACAAAAGAAAAACTCAGGATCTTAATGTTTGTTTAATGTGCTTAAATACAAGACTAAGATTTAAGAATATGGACTCATTGTTGAAATGTTTTACGTATTATATATTATATACGTATGTAGTTTTGTTCACATACGTGCACATTGGTTTACACAGTGTCATTTAGAACAAGGAGCAGACAATTATAACTCTGCAATAGATGCATTTGAGAAGCACGGAAAATCACTGCAGCTAGCAACAGCCTATCAGGGGAAAGGATGGAATTTACTGATGCAGGGAAAAAATTTAGAGGCCATTAAGTAAGTTAACGTCTTAAACTTAAACATAATTTTCTAAACAAATCCCACCGATTTACATAGTTTTCGACAAAATTTCATTTTATGGCATTTAATTTGATTGCCTGCAGTTTGAATAAATTTTATTGTTTATTTGTACACGTTAAAAATTGTGTCATTGACATGTTTAGGGTTCTGAAGACTGCATTAGACATGGCGAATTCGTCCGGAACAGAATACCAGTTAATAGCTCTGCTGGCGTTGAACAGTCTTGGTGTTACCAATGTAGTCTTAGGTATAAGTAATTTTCAGTATACAAATACTTGTGGCCCTAAAGCTAGAACGTAAAGATGATTTATGCAATCTAAATATGTTTTCTGTTTGTATCTACAGTTGTTAACTCATTGCTTTATAAATATAATTTTACCAATAAAGATTGATTCAAAGTATGATTAATGCAACCACAGATATGCCAGCTTTATTTAATTTTGATAAGTGAAAGTTTTATGTCAATGATATTAGCACATTAGCACACAGAAATTAAAGTTTGACACAAGTGAATCTCTGAAAACACAATAGTAAAATTTGTGCAAATATATCAATCAATGGAGTGCAAGGAAAGCATACTAACCCTATTTTCTTAATTTTTCATAAAAGAAAGTAAAGGCACTGTCACACTAGACTGCGCCTTCACAGTGTTTGCACGGCGTTGTTAAATTTAACAAAGCGCCGCGAGATAGCAATAAAAAGTGCGATTTTTTTTATGACATGGAGACTTCGCGGCGTCCTCACGGCAACCAAGGTGATGCTACGGAGCTTCCACGGCGTTTTGATCGACGATTGTCTGCATTTAGACAGCGCTTCTACCGGTTCTTTGCGCTTCCACTGCGCTTTTACGGCGCTCACACGGCGCTCTCGTGTCCCTCACACTGCGCTGAAATAGTAAAGCTCCGTAAAAGCGAAGTGCACACGCAGTATAAGCGCGATAGAGACGCCACACAATCTCCGTACAAGCGCCGTGAATAACCACCGCTTTTACTCATCGTTCCTGGTGCTGCTGTGCGTTGTAGGAGATGCTACGGCGTCCTTACTGCGATTCCACTGCGCTCTTATCAGTACGCCGAGTGACGGCGTTTGTTTTGAGCATGCTCAAAATGTGCGCCATTGCGGTCGGCGTTCTATGCGATGCCACTGCGATGCTACGGCGTTGCTGCGGCGATGTTTGCGATCTTACTGCGCAAAACCTCGGCGTTCTAAACGCCGACCTAGTGTGACAGGGGTTTTAATATTTAAATGTTTAAAATAAAGCAAGCCAACACTTTGTATAAAGCTGACCTAGATGTTTTGGGAAGTTTAAGTTATTGCTTATTTCAGGACGCTTTGATGAAGCGGAAAAGTATCACTTTGGAGCGCTTAAGGGACGGAAAAAGATCCAGGGAAAAACCCATCCTTTAGTTGGTGCTTGTTTGAACGATATTGGCATTATGTATTATCAAAAAGGAGATTGGCATAAAGCGCTTAAATACTATGAAGCTGGTCTTGATATAAAGAGAAAGAACCAAACACCTGTGCGTTCGCTTGTAAATTCGCTGAGTAACACGGCCAATATGTACAGTGAAACAGGGGACTCGACAAAAGCTATCCAGCTGCTAAACGAAGCATTGGCGATACTCAATAAGGAAAAGTTGTCTCCAAGGGCATCATTCGCTTTGATTTATGACACGTTAGGCAAAGTTAATCGGCAAGATGAAAACCTCACAGCTGCAGAGGATATGTTCCAGAAAGCTTTAGATATCAGAGAAGAAATCAGCATTGAACACGTAACGTATCTTGAGAGTTTGGTACACTTAGCAAGCATTCACAAGCTTCAAAAACGTTATAAATCTTGTATCCAAGTCTCTAACAAAGCTCTACGGATAAAGGAAACGATAGAAAAAGCCATGCCACAAAATCCGTTTGCCAAAGAATGTTTGGAATGCTTAGCTGAAGTTTACAAATTACTGGGTTCAGATGACAAATATATTGAAACACTTGAAAAACTCGAATCAGAACTGATTCGTCTTGAAAGAGTTTACATGGAACATGGGAATGGGCGAGATCTGCTAAAAGTTAGAAAGAAAATGCAAATAATTAAAGAAAGACTTGAAAGCATTTCTTTCTAAATGTTTTAAGTCCATATTACAAGTATATATGTTTTCTTCATCATTGTGTTATGTCTGATTCCACAAATGGATAAAGGTCAATTCAAATCAATGATTGATACATGGCTTTATCTTTTGTTACGCACTGCAACATTTTTATAGCTGAAATGTAACTCATTTTCCTTAATATTCATTCATATTAAATATTGCAAGAAAATTACTTGCATGTAAACAACATGTTCTTTAAGGTTTCCATATTATCATTTCAAGTACCCATTTTATCAAAATGATATAATGAATCAGTTTGAAATATACATTTTTAATCGTAACTATATGAATGTGTGTATTATACATGTAATATTACAATTTACTCGCAGTTATAACTTAAAAATGTTTTGTAAGATTTAAAAAAACTCACATTCCAGAGAAACTTACAGTTTGTTTTAAAGCACAATGATTACTTTTCATTACTCATTGTGTACAGAAATATTTTTTAGATATAAGTGATGAGGATTCATGTGCGTTATGAAACCAATGCGACTCACCAGTAATTTAAGGATTGCTGGGAGCACAGATTAAAACCCAGTCAGTGGCAAGCCATTGTTTCCTTGAGCAAGAAAGTATGTCACTCTATAGTCTGATATTTTCATACGCAGCTGAACTAAAATCAATTTTGTTTGAAATAAAATACTGTATATCTTATACAACACCAAAGTCTTTCGTTTTTTGCAAAACTAGTTTCCCAGGGTATACTCTAAAATATTATTGATTGCATTACAATTATAGTTTAGTATGCTAGCCTTTGTTGAGTACTGGTGTTATGCTTAACAAGTCTCAACTCTATACTCTAAAATATTGCTGATTGCATTACAATTATATTTGAATATGCAAACCCTTGCTGTCTACAAGTATTTTACTAAACCAGTCTCCACTCTAAAGGAAGTTTGGTTTATTGTGGGTGTTTATGTTATGAGATACAATAGCAATGGAATTAAATTACAATGAAATTTAAGTATGCAAACCTTTATTGTGTACCAATGTTTTGCTAAACTACTCTACACTCTATACTCTAAAATATTGCTGATTGCATTACAATTATATTTCAGTATGCAAACCTTTGGTGTGTACCAGTGTTTTGGTAAACTTGTCTCCATGGCATCCTCTATTGCTGATTGTATCACAATCATGTTCACGTATGCAAACTGTTGTGTTGTTATACTAATGGCTGAAGTGATTACAGATTTGAAACCAATGTGAATACTGATGGCTGAAAATAACAAAGGGCAATAACTGAAAAATAATGCAGGGTATGTTATCATTCTTGCTGCACCCCTCCTCAGTAAAATCTATCCACCTGTGAAGTTTCAAGTTGATACCTCAAATACTTTTTGAGATAAGCTCCGGACAAAATGGTATGAAAAAGAACAAAGGGCAGTAACTCAAAAATTATATAGGGAAGAGTTATCATTCTTGCACACAGCATTCCTCCTCAATAAGATATATCCACCTATGACATTTCATGTTGACATCTCAAACACTTTTGAGTTATGCTCCACTCAGGTGAAAAATTAAGTATGAAAAATAACAATGGGCAATAACTAAAAAACTATGAGAGATGAAGTTATCATTCTTGTGCACTCCACACCTCCTGAGTGAAATCTATGCACCTATGAAGTTTTATCTTGATATCTCAAGGGCTTTTTGAATTATGCTATGGACAAAAATTAAGTTTGAAAAATAACAAAGGGCAATAACTCAAAAATTATGCAGGGTAGAGTTATCATTCTTGTGCACTGCACTCCTCCTTAATGAGACCCATCCACCTATGAAGTTTCAAGTTGATACCTCAAATACTTTTTGAGATAAGCTCCGGACAAAATAGTATGAAAAAGAACAAAGCGCAATAACTCAAAAATTATATAGCGAAGAGTTATCATTCTTGCACACAGCATTTCTCCTCAATAAGATCTATCCACCTATGACATTTCATGTTGATATCTCAAACACTTTTTGAGTTATGCTCCACTCAGGTAAAAAATCAAGTATGAAAAATAACAAAGGGCAAAAACTCAAAAATTATGAAAGGTAGAGTTATCATTCTTGTGCACTGCACACCTCCTGAGTGAGATCTATGCATCTATGAAGTTTCATGTTGATATCTCAAGGGCTGTTTGAGTTATGCTCTGGACAAAAATCAATTTTGAAAAATAACAAGGGGCAATAACTCAAAAATTATGCAGGGTAGAGTTATCATTCTTGTGCACTGCACTCCTCCTCAATGAGGTCTATCCACCTATGAAGTCTCAAGTTGATACAAGTACCTCAAATAATTTTTGAGATATGCTCCGACAAAAATGTCGGACGGAAGGACGGACGGACGGAAGGTCTGAAGGACGGACGGACGGACGAACGGACGGAGACTATTTCTATATCCCCCGCTGCCTTTTCGGCGGGGGATAAAAATTGTCAATGACTTGACAATTTCATAATCCACTCGAAGCAGACGAAGCGTATTTGTTATACTGTGTTGCATGATTTGTTATGTTAAAAGTTCTAAATTAAGTTTTGTTTATTGTGGGTGTTTATGTTATGAGATACAATAGCAATTAAATTATTTATGTCATTGCATACCAGCAATGTTCTATCAATGACTAATATTTCTTCTTTTTTAGAAAATCTTAAATCTAATGGTTGAGAATACTAGTACCTTGTCTTTAATAACACTGTGTATTTTCCCGCCACACGCATGGTTGTTATACCACGGAGCACACAGATTGAATGCAAGAAGCCTTTTATGTTACGGTAAAACAATAAAAGTTTAAATTTGTAAGTCTCCATTCTTTTGTCTTCCATTTATGTCTATCTAGTTAGATTGCAAAAAATATTGATTATAGAACCTATCATTACTCCTCCATCGTCCCGTGAATCTAAAAATGTTCAGACTACGGACATTTCGTATATAGAGTATATTGAATAAATGTAGGTTCATTACCGAATTTATTGAACAAGTGGAATAAAATTATATTATTCGAGCCTTTGGCGAGCAAAATATTATTTTATTCAACGAGTTCAATAAATTCAGTAATTTATCACATATCCCTTACAAAAAGACTGTTTAAAGTTTTCATTGGCGCGCTAACATTCAGCGCGTCTGTGTAACGCAAATGACGTCACGTCAAAATATATGCACGACCGTGCAATATCATTTTACGGAGTCGCAAGAACGGCTCGGGTATGTGACAAATATATTTCAATTTACAATAAAAGGATTCATTCAAGCTCTTACAAATAAAAAAAACTGACTAACTATATTACTGTGCTAGTGTGCAAGAGATATTTTGACTTTTACTGTATTTGTGATCAGATTCAATTTGCCGAACACTGATATTTGATATATTTCAGGTTAAATTTCCAGACTGCAACCTTTGAGTGTTTTTGATAACGATAGTTTTGGAAGGGCATGCATTTTAACGGAATTACATGGGACATATACATAGTATTCCACTGAAAATTTAACTAATTTTATTCGTTATTATCAGGATACTTTTGTGACTAAAACATGTAGTAAAACAAATTATAATCTGATATATTAATCTATTGTTTATATACCATGTATTAATTGGAAATGCAAGGCTTTTGTCAAAACTATTCTGCATTGATATGTAACTTTTTTTCTTCCTATACACGCCCGTTTAACTCACAACGAGTGAAAAATGTCCATCGGTAAAAATGTTGTGAGCAACTTCCGTTCCTCGTTGTGAGCACCCATCTTTGACGTATGACACGATAAACAAGGTGAGTTTTTCATAATTTTTAAAGATTACAGACATTCATGTAAAAGTATCGAAATGCAGTTAGCTAGCGATGTGTTTTCCGAGTATGCACATGTAAAGATATTGCGTGTTGGTGGACAATTTGATGGAAATACCGTGCGACGCAGTCACTCGGGGTAGCAGGAAAACTGGAGACAACTTCTCTTTGGACCTAATTTAACATTGAAAACGTCGATTCTGGTGACGTTTTGTGCATTCTAACCTTAAACAGATGCCCACAAGTCTTCAGCGTAAATTATTATCTGAAAGTCTTCATAGAAACGAGGATATATACCCTTTTTTTGCTTTTATCCTCGTTGTGAGCACCAATAACCTCGTAAGGCTCGTTGTGAGCGAGACAAGCGCAGTGCGTGTATGGTTTTAATATGTAATTCAGATGGTGAAAATATAATTTTCAATCTACCACAGCAATTAAAACGTTTTTGCACAGCAGCATTTCTTTGCAAGACGTTGTGCATACACCAAAGGAAGGCATATTAGTTTTGAACTGTCCGTCTGTCAGTCCGTCAATTTGTCCGAAAACTAAACATTGGCCATAACTTCCGTATTAGTAAACGAATTTGATTCATATTTGAACACAACATCCCGAAGAACAGGACCTTCCTACGGACCTGTATTTTTTCACCTTGGCCCCTGAATGGCCTTTACCTTGAAGGTCAAATTGTCCAAAAACAATTAAGATTTGGCATATTGTTTAGGCACAACACATCTTTGGACAAGGCCTTTCAGCTATCCTATATTCTTTTGACCTTGACCCCTGAATGACCTTCACCTTGAAGGTCAAAATGTCCAAAACTAAAAAATTGGTCAAAACTTCCTTATTAGCATACGGATTCTACTCATATTTTGAAACAACAAACAGACAAGACCTTCAAACTGATCTGTATTTTTTTACTTTGTACCCTGAATGACCTAGAACATCCAAAAACTTTAACATTGGTCATAACTTCTTTATAAGTAAGTGGAGTTAATTCATATTTGGACACAATGCCCTTTGGACAAGACTTCCAACTGACCTATATTTATTTCACCTTGACCTTGAATGACCTTCACATTGAAGATCTTATTGTCCAAAATCAAATAATCTATCTGGTCCATAAATCAAAGGACAAAACGCCACTTCGGGGGCATTGTCAACTTACCGTGATAGTTCTTGTTTTTCATAACTTGGTCAGTCTTCAGCTCAGGATAAACATATGTATGTGTGTATCCCACAGATTGTGAAATTGTTGAAATATTCATAAACTCCCCGTGATGTTCACTCGTGCCACACTAGAGTATACGAAATAAAATAGCTAATTTACCTCCACTGATTAGTTCTTCTGTTAATCTGATGACTTGTGAATATGAAAAAATATTATTTTCAAAAAAGAAAAAGAAGAACTATTGCAAAGAAAAACTATTGTACAAAAACGTTTTGATTGCTTTTGGTAGATTGAAAATTGTATTCTTGCCATTTGAATTTCATATTAAAACCAGACAAGGACTGCGCTTGTCTTGCTCACAAACGAGGTTATGGTGCTCACAACGAGGATTGAAGCAAAACAGGGTATATCCTCGTTTCTATGAAGGCTTTCAGATTATAATTTACGCTGAAGACTTGTGGGCATCTGTTTTAGGTTAGAATGCACAAAACGTCACCAGAATCGACGTTTTCAATGTTAAATTAGGTCCAAAGAGAAGTTGCCTCCAGTTTTCCTGCTACCCCGAGTGACTGCGTCGCACGGTATTTCCATCAAATTGTCAACTAACAGGCAATATCTTTACATGTGCATACTCGGAAAACACATCGCTAGCTAACTGCATTTCGATATTTTTACATAAATGTCTGTAATCTTTAAAAATTATGAAAAACTCACCTTGTTTATCGTGTCACACGTCAAAGATGGGTGCTCACAACGAGGAACGGAAGTTTCTCACAACATTTTAACCGATGGACATTTTTCACTCGTTGTGAGTTAAACGGGCGTGCTATACAGATAAATTATCTGTCAGTTACTTTATAAAAGAAGATACTCTACTATTTAACCAGTTTTAGCAGTTTTAGTCTTTTAAACTTGAATTATTATTCGTCTTTTAAGTATTGAATAGCAAATAAATCTTGTTCACCAGATAAATACCTTTTATTTATGTTATCAACGTTAAATCTAGCTTGTTAGTCAGATAATGAACATGATATGCGTTTAATTGTTGGCAGAAATATACCACCATTCATAATGTACATTGGCTTTTCAAATGATGTTATAACAATTGAATGTTATGAATAAAAGTATGTAAGGAAAACGTTTAAAACTCTAGAAAAGGGGATGCCCTCGGAAGCAAGGAATACAACAAAATTACATAAAAATGGGAGTCTCGGTCAGTAACGCCTTTTACGCCCCCTAA